TGTTCATAATTGCAGGAGGAGCTGTGAGCTGGGTCTCTAAACTACAAACTATTGTAGCATTATCCACAACAAAAGTTGAGTATATGGCAACTACACAAGCTTGTAAATAAGCAATATGGATGAAGAAACTTATAGAAGAGCTTGGGCACAAACAAGAGAATATTATTTTGTATTGTGATAGTCAAAGTACCTTGCATATTGCATGGAATTCAGCGTTTCATTCAAAAACAAAACACATAGATATTCAGTGTCACTTTATTCATGAAGTGGTGGAAGATAGAAGTGTGGATTTTCAGAAGGTTCACACAAAGAAAAACCCAGCAGATGCTTTGACCAAATCGATCAATCTTGATAAGTATATATGGTGCAGATCCTCTTATAGCTGGAAACATAAGCAGCATAAAGATGGTAAGTATAGAAATGATAGAAGAATCACAGATGATCAAGTGTGAAGACTTGATTAAATCATCAAAGTCTTCAAGTGGAAGAATGTAAAGCCAACACTTAATTAAATTAAGTAAAATTGGTGGAAGACAAAAATGAGTAGAGTTGTTGGCATAATTGAAGATGAGTTGTTGATATAATTGGTGGAGTTGTTGGTATAATTGGTAGAGTATGAGTGGAGATGAGTTGTTGGCATAATTTATACCATGATTTATGGCATAATTGGTAGAGTATGAGTGGAGATGAGTTGTTGGCATAATTTATACCATGATTTATGGCCTTTTTCCCTTCACTCTTGCTTATAAATAGGCAATGCCTCCAAGCTTATTTTGCATACCAAGATAAAAAGAAGAAGAGGAGAGTGAAGAGAGAGTAATCCTATAAAATTGTGAAGTATTTGTGAGAGAGTAAGTAATGTGTTTTCTCCTAGTAATAGAGAGATTCTTAGTTGTTCTCCTATTATTTGAGAGAGGTTGTAATTCTCGCATTACTTAGTAAAATCTTTTTATACTTGCCTGTAGACATAGCCCAATTGGATGAACCACGTAAATTCTTATGTGTCTCATTTCTTATTTTATCTTATTCCTTATTTTTTATCTTGTCGGGTTTGCATGTCAATATCTTCACATAAAATAGATGTTTTTCCATCTGATTTTTCAAGTTATAAGCAGGCAAATTTGAGACTAGGGCATGGGGAAGGAAAAAGAAAAAGTTAGAAAGGTGCCAAAGAATTCAACAATCAGCGCTAGCTAGCCTATTAATGTTGAAATCCTTTTACTAGGAATCAGCTAATTTCTTAGATGGGAATGCATAAACATATCGGCAACATTCACATGCATACCCGGAACTTGTGCATCTGACCTAGAAAGCCATAGATCTTTCAAGTTTCTTTGCTTAATATTCATTCATTTATTGTAATCAATGCCTGTTTCCGTAGCACGCCCCAAATATTTTAGCACGAGTTGCAACATTGATGGCATCATGGATTAGCAAGTTGACAGCATATTTTTACCACTTGGTCCTTCAACTCTTTCATGAATTTAATGTTTAGATGAAGACATTTGAATAACCCAAGATTTCCACAAACACATTATTGTCTTCTTAAAAAAATATTTAACCAGTGATGATGTTTCTAAATCTAATATTTTCATGAATAAAATTTTTTAAGTATTTGAATAATGAATAATTAATTAAATATTCACATTAATATTTCTTTCTCTAGAGTTCATGAAATGGATAGTTGGTAATAAAAGACCAAATATATGCAAAACAATTCTTTTTGTGAGATTTAGGGATCCTTTGATAATAAAGTTAATAAATTTTATTAAAAAATTGCAATAAATAAGAAAATAAGATTCTATTAAAAGTTATAATAAAAAAATAAGCTTTAAATTCTAAGAATAAGAGTGTTTGTTATTATTTATATATAATAAATGCTTTGAGAATAAAAACATGAATACTTAGATAATAAAAAAAATATAAACATTTTACATTGATGGTTTAGAGGGTAAATATAGTTCTTGAACCTTATTATGTTACTTAAATGAAGGGGTTAAAGTGTCATTTTCTCCTGATAACATTACCAAGAAATACATATCTTTTACACAATATTAATAAGGGATATATATTTCTTACATAATATTCAAGTTAATGAAAATATAGTATGTTCATAAGAGACTTTTATACATCTAGAGGTATAAAAAAATGATTATTATTGACTTTTAATATTTTATTATTTAAGAGCCATGAGAATAAACAAACAAAGTCTCAAAACCTAATATGAGCTTTATTATGATTGTCAGTTCCATATGCATTTGAACCTAGAATGACCCCATACCTAAAGGTGATAGATCTAAAAACTTTTCATATCTACATATACTTACGCTTAGCACACAACTGATCCCAAAAATATTGGGTTTGACATCTCGTCACATTCACATGTATTAGAGCTCAGCATACAACTGAAACAAAACAAAAATTTTGATTTGATAATTCACTAAACTCATATGTACTTGACCTCAATGTATAACTAAATCTAAAGATATTGGGTTTGACATCTCACCAAACTCATATATAATTGAGCTCAACAAATAGATAAACTTAAGGATGTTGGGTTTGGCAACTTACCAGACCTATGTAACCTAAGTATGTTAGGTTGTCAACCTATTTTTGGGCTTTTTAAATGCAAGCTAAAGCAAAACTAACATATATAAAATACATTAATCTACTAATAACCCCTTAAGTCTTTGTGTTTTAAATATATAAAGATTTGAAAGGTTATCAAATTTAATAAGAGATTTTTTATTTTTTTTGTGAGATTTAATTGTCCTATATAGAGCTACCGGGATTCTTGTGACTAAATGACTTGTCTTTATTAAAAGAAATGGTCAAATAACTTATCTTCATTAAAAGTAGAGTTGAAGTGGATTTATATAAAATATTACTGATAATGTAATACCCATTACTCAGCTAGTCAAATGAATGATTTCATTTTTATTTGAGGGTAATTCTTTTATACATAGGTAATGCATGATTAGGAATTTCATCTCTAGGGTAATTCTTTTATACATAGGTACTGCATGATTAGGATTCTTTAATATTTTGTAATGTTGAGGTAAACAACCATACGCTCATCTTTATCTATATTTTGTTTTTTCAAAACTTCAACCAGACATCCATAAAAAAAAATCCATATTATTGGAATTTCAAATTAGCTAACTTAGATAAAAGATTCATCCAACGTTAGTTTACAATACTAATAGATTACACATATAATATTTTATCATGGAATTTCAAATTATCATGGATTTTCAATATTTTAATATAGATAATTTATTTTTTATTTCATTAGAATAATGGATTTAGTTTTAATATATAGAAATTAATGTGAGGATAATTTTGATTATAAAACATAAAAAAATAGTTATAAAACCTGATCCTGACTCGGGAGGTTGATTTTATACTCAGTTACTAGTTACTAGTTTGAGCAGATTTTTTTTTAAGAATTTCAACTTCATCAATGTGCTCAAAATCAAATTTAACTTTAAAAAACTTTAAAATAATATTATTTTATTTAAATAATAATAAAATAAAATAAATCAACTCATATTAACATGTTTAACTTATCACACTATTATTTTCTAGTAAATAACGGTACTAATTACTCATTAATCACTTCCTGGACACTATTATTTTCTAGTAAAGAACTTTCTGTCGCTTTGCTATTCTTTGGCTATTGATCAACCTTTTTCACCACTAATGATTCATGTAACTTTTATTGTGTTCTGTTAATCTTATAGGATACTTTTGCATTTATTTAGATATCTTTAGGATCTCAAAAGTCTTTTTGTTAAAATATTTTATGCTTTGGTGCATTTTGATTAAAAAAAAATTGAATGCATCGAATGCAGGGTCATCGTGCACATCTTGCTTGCAACAAGAGCAAATATTTTCCATATATAGCTTCGCAGTACTCATGTACATCCTGCTAGTCATCATATGCGTTTAGATAACCATATTCTTACTGATTGAGAATTGTTCATTCTGATGTCCAACTTTTATGAAAAATAAACATCCCAGGGATTGAGAATTGTTCATTCTGATGTCCAATAAACATCCCAAGTAGGTTTTAAATTTGCAGTATTCCTGATATTTCCCACCAATAGGCTAAAAAAAATCAGTAACGAATGGATTTAAAAAAAAAAAATACAAGGATGCAATATGAAGTTTTTGAAACTAAGACTAATTAATTAGATTCTTAAACTACAGGGACTAAGTTACAATTCACTCTATAACTATGCCATCGCCTTTGTCACTATTGTAAGTGAAAAAAAAACAAAAAAAACCCTTGGCAATGGCCACCGGCCTACCTGCTATTCGACAGGGGCATCTACAGATTACGACGCCGATCTCTACTCCACAAAAAAACAACGAGGAATAAGATTGGTACCTCAAGCCCTAACCTACTCCAGCCAGCCTGCCGAATATGACTAACATGCTAGACAGCTAGAGATCTTACTTTAAAGTTCATAGTAAAATTATTAGTTTGACTAATATATAAACTACTACATATTTCATCATGATTTAGATTAAAGAAAGAAAGAAAGAAAGAAAATACCTACTAGGGTTTGATTTTCATAAATCTGAGGTTTGCTTATTAAAATATTTAAGATATTTTGATTATCATATGAGGATAATAGCATAATTATTTTTTTATGATTTTATTAGATAGTATTTGATTTGTATCACGAAATAAATAAAAAATAGAACATGTCTCATTTTTTTTCTGTTTTGAAATGATAAAAATTCAATTACCTTATGTATATATCTTCATTTCTTTAATTAAAATGTTTTTGTCTTTTTATTTAGATGTTCTATAATAATAATAGCCTAAAATACGATTGTTAAGATTGGAAGATGGAGAAAATTAGCATGACTCCTGGACATGAGAAGTTTACGTTCATACGGTAACAACGTACAAATGAACACAAGAATAGAGTATAGCGTAAGTTGTATCAATAAATCTCAATATTATAATTATATATTGAATAGAGCATGTACAATTGAATTTGTTGGTAATCTTCTATGAATCTGTTTAAAGTTCTTTCCTAAACTGATTGAGAAACACAAAATCAGTATGGCCTTTTGACATACTTGAAATCTGCTGAAGAATCGAAACAATCTAACTTAACTCTACAAAGATTCAGCAATTTTAGCAACTCTTTAAGCTTCTCCTTTGTGCTGTAACCACAGCCCACCTGCAATAAGACCAGCAACTTCTGGAAAGCACCCACTTGTAGTGCTTCAACTACAACACCTCCTTCTGCATCATCATCTCCATCCTCTGATCTCTCTCCGTAATTCTTGAAAAGCTTCCAGAGAATGGAAACTGACAATTCTGACGCCAAATCTGATACATTCAAGATTTTCTTGATCAAAACAGCTACAATGAGAGCGTTCTCATAGGCCTTTTCTCTCCCTTCTTTGCAATCACAAATATGGTCCAAAACACCTAGTGCCTTCTCGCATATGCTTTTATCTCCATCAACTAGAATCTCTATGATCAATGAAACCAAACCCATTTCCACAAATGTTGGTATCATCGTCTCATTGAGACTTGATGATGAAGTCATGTAGAAAATTGCCATCAATGAAGCTTTGGTGGCTGTTGGGCAAATAGGCGCCTTGATTAACTTAACCAAAGCTTCAACCACTCCTTCAATCTTCACCAGGGCATTTGCATGCCTTTGATCTAGAGCAAGAAGATTTTTAAGCACCAAAGCTGCATTTTGCCTGGCTGAAAGATCTCCCCTCTTCAAGAACCATACCAAACAATTCAAAGACTTGATGGATCCAAGCCTCCTTTGGCCTTCTTCACCAAGTGGGAACATCCATACCAAAACTGATAAAATCTCTCCCAACAAATCCTCATCCTTCTCCATTGCAACGCTTGCAAAGGACTCGAAGCAAGCCGATAAAACACAACCAGCCCCATTCTCCACAACGCATCTCTTGTTGCGCTCACTCTCTTTACCCCAATTCTTGATCTTCCTAACGAGCTCTTGACACTTCTTTTGCTCCCCTCGTTGAGTTGCAACATTAACCCTCCTACAAATCTCCGAAACCTCGTACGGTTTCACAGGGACACGAGGCGTAGGGATCCTTTCAAACCCGTAAGAACGATTCTCAACACCCCAATCTTGAATCATCTTGCGCAGGGAATGATTCGGAATCTGATCAAAGCTTTCTAACACCTGGTTTGTAACCGGACATGTTATGTTGCCATCTTCGATCCATTTTTCGATACTTTCTCTATCGTATGTGATTCCTGTCGATAATGTGACCGGATCTTTCATCAAGTCAAGAGAAATCGGGCAACAGAAGTGTCTAGGAATCATGATTTCCATGTCCGAATTGATTTCTTGGCTTGGATTCTTGTTTTTCTTGGACTTTCTCCTTAATCTCCAAGAAACAATCATTGTCTATTCTCTCTTATGATGAGCTGCCAAGTACGATGGTGCTGAGATGAGGTTATGTATTTTTTGAACTTAGGTTCTTGGGCTAGAGATTATATGAAACTCTTAGTGATGGGGTGATGTATTTATATGTTGGTATGGCTTTCCGGTGGTCAAAGTCAAGCCCAGGAAGAGGTGGACAGAGAAGAAGACTGACTTCAAAAAGCAATCACGAAAGTGTGGAAGGTGTGGTTTGATGAATTGGAACTTGGAATGTTGACTGTTGAACAATTGAAAACAGTGTGTAAAAGCGTTAAAATTGTTGTTCGGAGTAAGGTTAGACGGCCAACCAAGGGTCAATTGCTGGCATTGGCTGACTGGGTCCGAGTCAAAGTAGTAGCAGGTGGAGCGACTTGGTTTCTTTCTTTTTATATATGAAAATAGGGCTTCTCGAGTTGGAGCAGTCCTTACCGGCTGCAACGGAGACCGCCTGCGTCACAAATGTTATATTTGTTAAATCTAGCTTGGTGCTGAAAAACTCAGGATTTGAAGTTTAATTTGATTTGAATTTTTAATTGAATTAATTAGATAAAATATTTACTAGAGTAAACTTGGTTAATTCAACAAGGTGGTTTTGGTTCCCTTAAAGTAAAACTCTATTTGAAGATTTTTTAAAAATATATATAAAATAAAATAATTAATCTGAATTAATCTAATAACCCTCAAATTAATCATCATTAGCATCCAATGGAGATAACAAATGTGACAAATACTAAAAACAAAGGAATAGTTAAGTTTAATTGCTCCTTGTAGTATATAGTCCTCATGTTTTAAAAACTATATATTTGATCTCTATTTCTTGAACTCATGTATAACTTATTTCCCTTGTAGATTTCACTCCTCTTTTCCCACTATATAATTTTTTATTTATTTGAGGAATAGAAAAATGAAAAGAGAACAAGATAAGAAGGTAGGATTTGCTGAGATAGGAGACTTTTTTTTTTTTGGAAAGAAATACTACCAAGTTGAGGATGATTAATGCTAGTCGAATAAGGACTATTGAATTATTTTTTATACTATGCGATAGAGATTAATTGATTGGTTTAATAAATTATAGGGATTAATTTATAATTAACTCATAAAGGAATGGTTTATGGGTGTGCCCATTTGAAGTTTAGAAAATCTTGCCAGTTACCAGTTTTTTGAGCCCGAAATGAGAGTGTAGCTGGGCTGGTTCAATGGGTCTGGAAAAAATAAGTAGTAGACTACTCTAGGCAAAAAAAAAAAACAAAAAAAAAAAAGACACGAAGAAGAAGAGTTTGGATCACTAGGGTCCAAGCACCTTAGCCATGTAGCTCCATTTGAGTTTTGGAGTTGATCCGTTGGTGCGGGATTGGGTTAGTTATCCGGGTGACTTTAGTTCGAATCCTTTCCTTATAATTGAGAAGAAAAAAAAATTGCACCATAAAATAGATAGCATGATATATAATACATACTTGGATACGTGACCTTCACTTCACCGTGGGTGGTGGGTTGGATAAACAAAACTTTGAAAGAAAAAAGTGATGTTAAGCTGATGCAAGAATCTATAAAAGAAAGACAAAAAATTGTTAAATAAAAAAAAAAAAAAAATCTTAATTCATATAAACTCATTAAATCCATGAACTAACTCATTTGACTAAAAGCAACAAATTAAAAAAAAAATTTCAACTCAATTCTAATCAAAAAATGATAAAATTGAAAGAAAAATCTAATATGCAAAAAGATGAAAAAATTACAATTATAAGCTAAAAAAAGACATGAACTTACTCGAATCAACCCATCAAAATTACAGGTCAAATTATAATATCAGGATAACCTGACATTAAAAAAACATAGAAAATCATAAAATTTATTTTAAAAGCTAAAAAAAGACATGAACTTACTCGAGTCAACCCGTCAAACTTACAGGTCAAATTATAATATCAGGGTAACTTGACATTAGAAAAATATAGAAAATCATAAAATCTATTTTTAAAAAAAAAAACACTAATATCAAATTATGAAATAGGAAAAAAAATGAGCCAAAAAACTATTGATGCCAACTCTTGTTAGCATATAAAACTCATGCCCCAGGCCATTTAATTGGAAGCATCAAGTATGAAAAAACCACAAAAATCAATTCTCGACAAATAAAATATTGAATGATAAATTAAAAAAATAACACAAAAAGATCTTAAAGAAAAAAAAGTAAAAATAAAAGGAATGAACCTACTTAGGTTAACCCGCCAAACTCACGAGTTATGTTATGAAATTGAGATAACCTTATTTTTATATATAAAAAAAAATATACGTCAAATGATGAGATTAAAAAGAAAAATATGTCTATAAAAAAAAAAAAACTCATGTTAGCTTATAAAACTTGTGACCTTGATCATTTGATTAGAAGTATCAAATATAGAAAAATCTTGAAACCCAAATCTTAAAAAATTAAATGTTAGAAGATAAAATTAAAAAAATAACATTCAATTATAAAAAAGAATTAAAAACACAAAATAATAATCAAAAAAATAAAAATTAAGTTTGATAAGAAAAATATATATTGTTGATATAAAAAGACAACTCCACAAGAAATCTAATAACACAATGGAAGATAATTTTTCATTACAGGAGGATATCGTATTCACAGTCAAAACCATGGCGGAACCTTTGCATGCACCCGTACATACATAGACATGTTTAATGAATTTAAAATTTTAATAATGTTTAATTAATGCAAAACATCAATTTACTCCTTTACTAATCTACTTATAATGTAAAACCTAATATTAAATCCCAAAAATACAAGTCTAAATTATTTTTTATTTCAAAAGTAAATTAGTAATTTTATTGTATTAAAAAAATAAAATCTTAAAAATTCCTTAGCAACCAATTATTTAATATGGTTAATCCATTGTAATGTGCTCAAGATCTATTGAATTGTAAAAAAAAATGATATTATTTTAAGTTTTTTAATTTTTTATTTGACTTATTCAACTCGTAACTCAAACCTTGCTTGAATCAATATATTATTTAAGTTTAATAACTATAATTTTATTATTACTAACAAATTTTATTTTCAATGCAAATCTTGCAAAAAGTTTTGATTTATTTTTTATTTTTTATTTTTTGTACTAAATGAAGATAGAAATCCCATTAATTGTTTCAAAGATGCACGTCTAGATGTTGATATATAAGAGGAACCTGGCCTTTCATCAAGTACCCAGCTCAATTTTATTTTATTTTTTTGGTTTGACAAAAAAGAAATTAGCATATGTTGATAGGTAAATGCACACTTGGAGATTTGATGCATAAAGAATGAAAACAACCCAATATACCTTGGGAAATTGATAGATGGAACGCGAACCCCATGCCAGAGCAGACAACTACAGCACAACTCTTGCATATGCTTCCCCTTTAATCAAAGACACAAGTCTCCACCCTTTACCATGCTTTTATGTTTTCATGGACGGGAGACCTTTTGATTGTGTTTCAATTAATAGGTTTTAAGCGTGTGTTTGGTAGTTTTTATAGTTGTAATTTAAATTAGAGGTTGCAAAAATTATAAATTAAAGTTTTTTTTTATAAGCTTTCAAGAAAAAATTTCTAATAAGATTGATGTAAAAATGTGGTGTGTATCGATTAAACAAATGCTTTAAAATATTTGGCCAAAGTAAAATATAGACGATATTAAAAAATAATATAAATTATATTTTGAAATTTTACTTTATAATTAAAATTATTAGGTTTAGATAGTTTTTTTGATTTAATATCAGAATCTTAATAATAAAACGGTTATGAATTTAAATCTTATCATTTTTATTTATTTGACAAAAATTAAATATAAAATAATATATATTTGTGCAAGTTTCAAATCCAAGAAACTTTCATTTAAAGAGAGATATTAAAAAATAATATAAATTACATTTTGAAACATCATCTAATAACTTAAATTATTAACTTGAAATGATTTTTTGACAGATAATATCATACAATACTCATGGAAATAAATAGAGCCTAGGACTAGAAGAAATAAATACAAAATAATGGAATTAAGATAATATTTAAAATGATTTTAAAATAAAATTTTATTCTTTTAATATAAGAAGAATATAAAAATATGTTATCTTTGTCTTAATGATCTTTGTTTTTTTTATTTGAGATAAGAATTAATATGTATATTATAATCTTTTAATTTTACTTTTAAGTTCAGAACAAAATTGCATTGATTTCGTGCCTAATACAAGATGCAAATATTGATATATGATTAGACATGATAAAAAATTTCACAAAAGAAAATCAGGGAGAAATTAAGCTATTAAAAGGGATAAAAACCGTATTATATCTTACCATATGTATGCACGCAGCGAAGATCAATCAGGACAGGAGAATAAAAGTTGCAAGTTGCAGTTTCCATGGAGTAAGCCTTCACACGGCATCTTTTCTTGGGAAAGGCATCATCTCTATCCTGCCGTCTAATTTCATGAAACTTTTCCTTCTTTTTCATTCCTTCTTTATTACAATGAGAGTAATCTCATCGCAGTCTCAACACCTCATGATTTTGCCTTTTCCAAAAAAAATAAAGCCATCATCACCCCAACCAGTAATCGATTGGAACTGGGGCATGGAACTTTGTGAGAAAGGAGATTCTGATGTCCATGAAATAAAATGGGGATTAAAAGAAAGACCAAGGCGTGTGGCTAGGATGAAGCTGACAAAAGCAAAAACAATGCTACCCAGCTAATCTTAGAACTTTTTTGAAAGAGAAAAAAATGACAGTTTGATAAAGTTTTTGAAAATATGATATAAGTTTGAAAGCTACTTGGAAAATAATATAACTTGAATAATTCTGTACATAATTGACTATTCACAGTAAAATGTTTTATGCAAATTGATTATCTTAATAAAAATCAATCTAAAATTTTTCAAGGATTGAGTAGCTAAAAGTTGAGATTTAGAATCTGATGACCAAAAAAACAAGAGGAGACCGGGTCGTCCGGGTTTCCGGGTCAACCTTGCCGGGTCGTCCGGGTTACACCGGGTCATGACTTACCTTATTTTTTCATTAACCCGGACCGATTCCAGCCCCGGGTCGGCCGGGTTTTAAAACTATGGTTTTGAAAATATGATATAAGTTTGAAAGCTACTTGGAAAATAATATAACTTGAATAATTCTGTACATAATTGACTATTCACAGTAAAATGTTTTATGCAAATTGATTATCTAAATAAAAATCAATCTAAAATTTTTCAAGGATTGAGTAGCTAAAAGTTGAGATTTAGGATCTGATGACCAAAAAAACAAGAGGAGATTAGTTGATGCGATAAAAAAAAATAAAAAAGGAAAAGATAAAATGAGTTAAAGAAGACATATTAGAGATTTGTTTTCAACACACTTGATATTATTAAAAACGACTACGTAATACTAATTACATCTTAAAAAATCATTAAATAAGATCCTAATTAACCTCAAATAAAATCTAACTAATTATATTTTTTTTATGGTTTTTCAATATATAGTTAAAATCATTTTATCAAAAAAAATTTAACAATACTGTGTACGTCAAAATAAAATTTCAATATGTCTCCGATAACCCATTTTCTTAATTTCTATTTTCTATCCTATCATCTTATTTTGGTAAGAAAAAACCCCTAATCTAAAGACATCTAGACATTCCGTGTGATAATTGTCTGGTTGCCATCAGATGCATGCTTCTTCGATTCTGTTACTGATGACAGCACCCTTTTCTTTTCTTTTTTTCTAGTGAATTTGATCGTGTAAGGATTTGCACACCAAAATTGGTTGGAAAGAAAAATGGACTCGTGGCTTACTGGCTTTGCTATACATCAAGAAGCAGGAAATTTTGCAGAGATCTGAAACCGAAGACAAATATCTTCTAGAACACCTTATCCATTTCATTTTCAAAACCTCTAATACAAGTGACCAACATCCAAACTACATTTCCAAGAAAAATATGAGCCAAAAGGATGAGACTAGAACATGAATGAGTTAGGAGCCAGACAAGTTTACAGAGAAAACAGCAGAGCCGCAAATAGAATGAACATAGAAAACCACCACCACCTCCACCATTTACAACTACCACACTCATCTTCCATCAGCTGATGTAAATGACTCAGCAAACCCATATGGGCGCGCAGGTATGCTGGTTTGAGTATTGTCTAAGCTGGGAAGGAGTGAAGAAGAAGAAGATTCCATGTTGCTTCTACCTTCATAAGCTTGCCACTTCTTAAGTGCCTGTGGCAAGGACATTTCAAGGTCAATACCATATATGTCTTCAGAACTTTGGTCGGTTGGTTTCCAGAGCTCCACCAGAGAAGAGAGAACATTCACAGCATGACCCATGTCTGGCCTTTGATATGGTTCCCTAGCACAGCAGTGACCTGCCAACTCTGCTACGGTGCTGATGCTGGCAAGTGTTTCCTCATTGAGATCAATTGTGGGATCGATGGCCTTCCGGAATGTATCCTTGTTCAGGTGCATTCTGCGGAACCACGTTACAAGATGCATGCTCTCTTCAGGCTGGCTATCATCAAGAGCTTTTCTACCAGTTATAAGCTCCATCAATATCACTCCAAAACTGAAAACATCTACTTTAGTTGTCACTCGACCAGTAACTGCAAACATATCACCCAAAAACAAGAAGTTGAAGTTAGCAATGTGAATTAAGAGAGCAAACAGAAAAGCAAATCATAAGCTCAAAAAGTCCGATGGCAAACAACAGGCAGAAGAAGACAGAAGACACTGTAGACTAAGAGATATGCTAACAATCAAAGAAATGCTACTCCTCCCAGGACTGGAGCCATAAAAGTGAAACAACAAACGATAGATTTTAAAAATATGAACGAACCATGCCATGCCTCGTGAATAAGACACGAATTTGCATATAGTAAGGTGAATCCTATTCCTTGACAGAAATATTTTGGCTACTCTTGATACAACAGAAAAAACAAATCAATAACAAAACAGAAATACAACAGCAGATTGATGAATCTTTTTTTGGCAGTTAACAGGATTATGGTGCATTTGTGCCAAGTTTGTCACGAATCTCAGAGTAAATAGCAGTCAATATATAATAATACTTGTCCAACTATATGTTTTAAATGAACCCCCAAATATCTTGGACTTGAAATAAATTAAACATTAATTGAAGGGTAAAGCAACTAGAGGAAACGGTACCTGCATATTCTGGTGCTAAGTATCCAAAAGTTCCAGCAATTCTAGTTTCAATAGAACCTTTACCCTCTGGTGCAAGGCGCACAAGACCAAAATCTGCAACCTTAGCCCTCATATCATCCCCGAGAAGAATGTTTGAAGGCTTTAAGTCCCTGTGTATAAAGCTTTGATGAGCCAAACCATGAAGGTACTCGACACCTCTTGCTACATCCAAGGCTATTGTCAATCTTCTTGTCCACTCCATTGGTTTCAATCCTTCTTCTGCCCAGTTGAAGAGATGCCTACTGAGTGTCCCTTGTGGCATATACTCATACACAAGAAGCTTCTCGTTACCATCCAAGCAGTACCCAAGAAGAGCAACAAGATGCCGGTGCCTAACCTTAGTCAAAACAGCAATCTCAGACTTGAATTCATTTAGCCCCTTACTACTTATGACCCCAGACCCCATCCTCTTCACAGCAATCTTTGTACCATCATGCAACTCACCTTTGTAGACCACTCCAAAACCTCCTTGTCCCAATATGTTTTCTTCACTGAAATTGTTAGTAACATTCCTTAAAACTTGAATAGAAATGACCATGTTCCCAGCTTCACCCATTTGAATGTCACCCTGTTCACTTGTAGGAATTGTATGTGTTTCACTAATAGCACCAACACTAACACTTGATCCAGCAACAGTAATCTTCACACTCTCATTATCAGACACCGAGTGGCGAGGATGAATCACCATTTCATTCGGACTCTGTACTCTGCTAAACCGCTTTTGTTTCTTCTTGTACAGACAGAAAACCACCAAGCCAATCAAGAACAATAAGAAAACACCCCCAACAACAGAAAACACAATGACTCCGATGAAAGCGGAAGATTTCTTGCCACTTTTTTCTGAATTGCCACCACTTCCAGAACCAGTATTTGCTGATGGACTTGCAGATGGGGATCCTGGAGATGTAGAACTATTCACATCCTTCCCTATATGTGGATTACCATTAGTATTAACCATCACATTGTTCGTAAAGGCCGGAACTTTCCCATAAAGCTGATTGTTTGACACATCAAGTTCCTTAAGTCTAGGTAAGGTAGTAATCTCTTGCGGAATCAAACCTGTCAGATTATTATTTGCAAGAACCAACCTTTCCAATGACTTAAGTGATGCAAAATCTGGAGAAATCGAGCCTGTTAGCCCCATCTTCTCAAAGTTAACAACAGTGATGTTCCCCTTATTACATGTTATTCCAAGCCAATCTGCACATGGATCATTCCCCTTCCAACCATCTGCCAACCTGTGTGGGTAATACATTGATTTCACTATCGAAAGCAAGGTATTCACTCGCGAATCACATGGACCAGGAGTTGACAAACAGAATCTGTTAGAATCCTTAACCATATCCACAGAAACGGAGCTCTTAAACACAGGCATTGGACCTTGAAGCAAATTATTTGACAAATTCACAACCTTTAAAGACTCAAGATTAACCAAAGACTCAGGAACGGGACCAGTAAATGAATTATCTCTTAAATTCAAGCTCTCTAAGTCTTTCAAACCCGAGAAGTCAGGTAAAGGACCCGAAAATCCATTAGACTGCAACCAAACTTCTCTTAACAAAGTCATGTTCTGAATAACATAAATGCTACCACTAAGTTTCTGTCCATTAAGCCACAAAGACTGAACTTGTGACCCTGAAAAACTTGCAGGCAATTCACCTTCAAGATCATTAAAAGCTAACCTCAAAATGGTCAGAGCCGGAAAAGCATCTGGGCCAAAAAAACTCGGTATTGACCCGGATATATTAGCTGAATTTGCAGAAAAATTCTGCAAACCAGAAGCATTTTGTATACTTTCTGGAATGACCCAATTGGAAAACGGGTTGTTATCAATCTCCACTGATTGAAGTGAGGACAAACCGGCGAAGAAGTCACTAGGTACTGAAGTGAATTTATTGTCACTTAAGAGGATCACTTGTAATGAACTTAACCCGTTTAAACTTGGCAAAGGACCGGAAATGTTGTTATACTGAAGCTCTAAACGTTCAAGTTGAGTAAGGTTTTGAAGATTTGAAGGGAGTGTACCTTGAAGATTTTGGCGTCCAATTTGGATCCGGGTGACCCGTTTTTCATCCGAACAAACTACATGGTTCCAGTTGCATGGATCCGGGTCCGACCATCCAAGTGAATCTGGTACATTGAGACTTTTTTTGAGAGATAGCATAACTTCAGCATCCGGGCTTGCTTGAGAGCTTGCATAACGAAAGATTGAAGAAAACCCAACAAGGAAAATCAGAAAGAGCTTCAAATTTTGACGGCCTTTTCTCTTCATCTTTAGAGAGAAGCGAAAGGAGAGTTGGTGCCTTTTTCTGTTTTTGCAGCCAAAGAAGTAAACTTTCTAAGTGAAATAATGCACGGGCTTATAGTTTCTTGACAGAAAAGAAATAGAAAGCAAAGAGAAGAAGCAAAAAAAACCCAATTCGAAGAACCATGGAGGGAGAGAGAGGGAGAAAGCGGGTTGTATTGATGGAAGAGGAGTAAGTAGGGAGGGAGAGGGGGG